AATAAAACTGACTAGTCAAAGTATGGAGAGATCAGTTCAAGTGTTGAGAAGTATTAAGTCTAGGAGATAGGATGCAGTCAGTCAGAAAGTGAATGTAGACAGCAAAGGGAAGATGCTGATAGCTAAACCCCAGAGTAGACCTTTTGAGAACATAGAACTTTGTGCTCAGTCCCTGGGAATTCTCAGTTTTCCAGAACTGTCAGCCTCACCCTTCCTTTTGCGTATGTTAGATTACGTGGTACCTTGCTGATCCAGAATATGTGGAATGTTTTAGGACTCAGTGGTTGTTGAGGATGTGGCTGTGGACTTTACCCAGGAAGAGTGGGCTTTGCTGGATCATGCTCAGAGGAAACTCTACAGAGATGTGATGATGGAAACCTTCAGAAACCTAGCCTCTGTAGGTAAGGATGGTACAATTTTTTTATTTACTCTTTTACTGAAAAATATATTGTACTCATCGACCTTGCTCCAGTATTTGAGTTGAAGAATAGATATACATTGTTAAGTAAGATAGGCTTATTCACTTGTTCTATGCTTTCATATTCTGGCTCTCCCAAGAACATAAAGCCCTGTGTATTAAACTGATTTCTTATTTATCTTGTGTTTGAAAGGCTTGAGGCTCTTTAAGTGTTGTAAGTGTGAGCATGGACTTTAGGGGTCACTTTTGGGCACAGAGAGAAGACTTATGTTTAGGTACCTTGTAAAGAGCATTTCAAGATATGTCCTGCAGTACAACACTGTGGTAGGATACTATCCATACGTCTGTAAGGAAGACCAGTTAATATGACTATTATTCAACTTTACGCACCAACTACTAATGCCAAAGATAAAGAAATTGAAGATTTTTACCAACTTCTGCAGCGTGAAATTGATCAAACGTAGTCAAAATGCATTAATTACTGGTGATTGGAATGTGAAAGATCAGCAGTTGGAAAATGTGACCTTGGTGATAGAAATAATGCTGGAGACCGCATGATAGAATTTTGCAAAACCAAAGACCTGTTCATTGCAAATACATTTTTTCAACAACATGAAAGGTGACTATACACGGGGCCCTACCAGATGGAAAACACAGGAATCAAATCAACTACATCTGTGGAAAGAGACAATGGAAAAGCTCAATATGATCAGTCAGAACAAGGCCAGGGGCTGACTGCGGAATAGACCATCAATTGCTCAAATGCAAGTTCAAGTTGAAGCTTAAGAAAATTAATTCCGCGAGAGCCAAATACGATCTTGAGTACATCCCACCTGAATTTAGAGACCATCTGAAAAATCGGTTTGACACACTGAACACTAATGACCAAAAACCAGACGAGCTGTGGGATAACATCAAGGGCATCATACATGAAGAGAAAAAAAGATTAAGACGGGAAAGATATAAAAGACCAAAATGGATGTCAGAAGAGACTCTGAAATTTGCTCTTGAGTGTAGAACAGCTAAGGCGAATGGAAGAAATGATGAAGTAAAAAGAACTGAACAGATTTCAAAGGATGACTCAGGAAGACAAAGTGAAGTATTATAATGAAACGTGCACAGACCTGGAGTTAGAAAACCAACAGGGAAGAACACACTTGGAATTTCTCAAGCTGAAAGAACTGAAGAAAAAAAAAAAAATCAAGCCTTGAGCTGCCGTTTTGAAGGATTATATGGGCAAAATATTGATCGACACAGGAAGCATCAAAAGACGGTGGAGGGAATACACAGAGTTACAGTACCAAAAAGAGGTTGATGTTCAGTCATTTCAGGAGGTAGCGTATGATCAAGAACTAATGGTATTGAAGGAAGAATTCCAAGTTGCACTGAAGGCATTGGTGAAAAAAGAAGGGCAGTTGACACAACCTTACTTGCTGAAAGAGAAGAGGACTTGAAGCACTTACTGTTTAAGATCAGAGACTATAGCCTGCTGTATGGATTACACCTCAACATAAAAGAAAATTCCTCACAACTGGACATAAGCAAACATAGTGACATAATGGTAAATGAAAAAATATTGAAGTTGTCAAGGATTTCATATTACTTGGATCCATAGTCAATGCACATGGAAGCAGCAGTCAAGAAATCAAATGACGTATTGCATTGGGCAAATCTGCTGCAAAAGACCTCTTTAAAGTGTTAAAAAATGAAGATGTCACTTTGAGGACTAAGGCATGTCTGATCCAAGCCATGGTATTTTCAATTGCCTAATATGCATGCGAAAGCTGGACAATGAATAAGGAAGACTGAAGAAGAATTGAAGCCTTTGAATTATGGTGATGGCAAAGAATATTGAATATACCTTGGACTACCAGAAGAACAAACAGGTCTGTCTTGGAAGAAATATAGTCAGAGTGCTCATTGGAAGAGAAGATGGCAAGACTTTATCTCACGTACTTTGGACATGTTATCAGGAGGGACCAGTCCCCGGAGAAGAACATTATGCTTGGTAGAGTGTCAGCAAAAAAGAGAAAGAGCGTCGAGATAAATTCACACAGTGACTGCAACAATGGGCTTAAACATAGCAATGGTTACTGAGGCTGGTGCAGGACCAGGCAGTGTTTTGTTCTATTGTATATAAGGTCACTATGAGTCAGAACTGACTGGACAGCACCTAACAAGTAACACCTTGTAGAAAGTCTTACTGTGTTTATTTCAAGTTTGACAGGCTTAGTTTGCTGCATATTAACTCAGACCTACTCCCTTCCCAAGACTCTGAAGATGGAAGTATTGGCTCAGTAACAGGGAAATGATCATTGCTCTTTACTTTCTTCCCTCGTTTTTGTTTGAATTGTGTCCCCCCAAAATATGTTTTGTAAATTCTAACCCTTACACTTTGAAGGAACTAGCTGTAGTGGTGCAGTGGTTAGAGTGCTCGGCTGCTAAGTGAAAGCTTGATGGTTCGAATGCATCAGGCACTCGACGGGAGAAAGATGTGGCAGTCTGCTTCTGTAAAGATAGCCTTGGAGATCCTATGTGGCAGTTCAACTGTGTCCTACATGATCACTATGAATTGGAATCTACTGGATGGCAATGGGATACTTTGGAGGTAATCCCATTTGAGAATAGGGTTTTCTGTGTTATGTGAATGAAAACATAAGGGTAGGGTGTGTCTTAGGCCAATCAATTTTGATATATAAAATGAGCAGATTAGGTAGGCACAGAAGCAAGCAAGCACAAACGGAGAAAGATTGATGCCAAATGGAGATCACCAAGGAACAGAGGAAGAGAAGCTGAAAAAGACGGATTTTCTCCCAGAGTGGACAGAGAGAGAATCCCCTAGATATGGTGCCCTGAATTTGGACTCCTACCCTTCTAAACTGTGAGAAAATAAATTTCTGTTGAAGCCACCCACCTGTGGTATTTCTGTTACAGCACCAATAAGAAACTAAGACACACATGTTTGCCTTTCTCCATGAGCCCCATGTCAGCTACATGCATTTGTTCTCCCAGAGATAAAAGAGAAAGATCTGAAGACAGTGAAGGTAGGACTCATCCAGGACCCTTGTGTCAGAGCACCAGGAAGGGAAGAATCCTTAGAAGGATTCTTCGAAGCCCCGCATAGAGGGAATTGGATTTGAATAAATAAATGAAAAAAGTGTCTTTGGCGTTGAGGAGACTGAACTGCTCAGATACCTGATCTTCCTTTTATGACTTTCATCAGTTCTCTCACACTTGTTTTCCTGGAGAACCTTCCCCCTTTCCTTTTATAACATTACATGTGCATGCGCATTGTGTCCAATATCTTTCTACTTTGCTCTCGTAATTACACCCTACTCATGTCATCCTCACTCTTAATCTTCATGGAAGTATTTCGTAATAAATTTCTTTTAGACCATTTCTCAACTCCTGAAACAGCCAAATGCCCCAAAGTTTTTCTTTTTTCACAGCTGCCTTTTTCCTCCTGATAATTCCTTTCTTCTTTGTTTCATTTTGTGAATCTCAACTAAAAAAATTTGGTCAGTTTCTCAAAACCTTAATGATGGAGAAAAGTTATCCAGTGAACAGATAATGGTACGATTACTGAAGAATGGAACCTGGTCCTCCATGTTAAAAGAGATCTGTGAATTCCATGGCATTGAAAACAAGCATAACAACCAGGAGAGACATACAAGGTGAGTGTCAATCAAGCGATAGAGAATAGTGCCTCAGGAGAGAGACTTTTAAGTTGTCAAGACATTAAAATATATAAATAAGTACCTCTGAAATTGTGTGTTCACAGAATTTTGAAACTATTTTCATAACATTGAATCTGATTATTGAGTATTTGAAATGCATTTCCTTTGTGCACAGTTATCAGAAAGCTCCATATTTTTGAAACAGAGTAATGGCAGCATCTCTGCCAGATGATTTAAACTATGAAACATGAGCCAACCCAGAAAAAAACATATTCACTATTTAGTAATGGCGAAATATTACAGATTTATTTCCAACAGCATGCTGTCTGTTTTTAACAGGAGATATGTTTTAGAGAAGCTCCATGAAAGTAATGAAGGCATTCAGTATGGAAAAACCTTCAGCTGGATTCCAGATATGACTGTGCTTAAGAAAACTCCTCAAGTAAATCTTGCTGAATGCTGTGAGTGTGGAAAATTCATGGATCATTTGTCACTTAAACATCATATCAGATCTTACACTGGATGCAATATGTATCAGTGTAAGCAATGTGGAGAATGCTGCAATTGCCCCTCTCAACCCAACATTCCTGTGAGAACTCTTATTGTAGAGAAACCCTATAAGTGTAAGTTATATGGCAAAGGCTTCATTGGTATCTCAGCTTTGAAGAATCATGGGACAACACTTACTGGAAAGAAACCCTATGAATGTGATGAATCTGGTAGCTCTTTATCCTTTGGCACAACTGTGAGAGGTCATAAGTGTAAATGTAAAGAATGTTGGAAAGTCTATACTCATCCCTCATCCCTCATTTTACATAAAAAGATTCGTAGAGATGAGCCTGATGAGTGTATGGACTGTGAGAAAGCCTCATCCATCATTGAACACGTAAGAAAACGTGATGAAGGGCCTCATGAATGTAAGAAACGTGGGAAAGCCTTTAGTCAGTCTTCACAGCTCATTACACATGTAAGAATTCACAGTGGAGAGAGGCCTTATGAATGTAAGGAATGTGGGAAGGCCTTTAGTCGTTCTTCGTTCCTCACTGAACATATAAGAAGTCACAGTGGAGAGAGGCCTTATGAATGTAAGGAATGTGGAAAAGCTTTTAGTCGGTCCTCATATCTCATTAACCATATAAGAACTCACAATGGGGAGCGGCCTTATAAATGCAAGGAATGTGGGAAAGCCTTTAGTCAGTTCTCAATCCTCTCTAGACATATAAGAATTCACAGTGGAGAGAGGCCTTATGAATGTAAGGAATGTGGGAAAGCCTTTAGTCATTCCTCAACCCTCACTAAACATACAAGAATTCACAGTGGAGAGAAGCCTTATATATGTAAGGAATGTGGAAAAGCCTTTAGTTGTGCCTCATCCCTAACTATACATACAAGAACTCACAGTGGAGAAAGGCCTTATGAATGTAAGGAATGTAGGAAATTCTTTAGTCGTTCCTCATCCCTCACTGAACACATAAGAACTCACAGTGGAGAGAGGCCTTATAAATGTAAAGAATGTGGGAAAGCCTTTAGTCAGTCCTCATCCCTCACTAAACATACAAGAACGCACAGTGGAGAGAGGACCTATGATTGTAAGGAATGTGGGAAAGTCTTTAGTAATTCCTCATATCTCACTTTTCACATAAGAAGTCACACAAGACAAAAGCCTTTGTAATAGGAACGGGAAAGCCTAGTTCTCATCCTTCACTACACATAGAACTCATAATGGAGAGTGACCTTATGAATGTGAGCAATATGAGGAAGCCATTTTTTCCTCATCCTTCAGTGAACATAGGAAAGCTCACAGCGGACAGAAGGCTTATGAATGGAGGGAATGTGGAAAAGTCTCTATTCCTCCTTCCTCTCTAAATATAGTAACTCAAAGTGGAGAGGGTTGTTAGAAATGTGAGGAATGTGGGAAGGTCTTCTGATGTCTCATCCTTTGGAACACATCTGAGTAGGCATACCAGAGAGAATCAATATACAGTCGTTCCAGAACCCCCTGTGGATACCAAATTCCACAGATGCTCAAGTCCCTTATATGAGGTGATGTAGTATTTGCACATTATCTAGGCATATACTCCCATATACTTTAAATCATTTCTAAATTACTTATAATACCTAATATAATGTGGAGCCATCGTGGCACAGTGGTTAAGAAGAGCTCGGCTGTTAACCAAAAGGTTGGCAGTTGGAATCTACCAGCCACTCATTGGAAACCCTACAGGGCAGTGTTACTCTGTCCTGTAGGGTTGCTATGAGTCAGAATTGACTTGATGACAATGGGTTTGGGGTTTTTTTTTGAATATGTAAATGTTATGTACATTGTTGTTATACTGTGTTGTCGGGAGATAGCACTTTATGCCATGTCTTAGCCTTTGAGGGATTGCTGTGCCCACTTTTAGGAGCCATTTTTCACAGAAACGAAGCGTGCACAAAATAGAACTAGCAAACGAATGAGACACGAGGCGAACTATGCTCAAACGACAAGTGCTGGAGAGAGACTGAGGATCTGTTAAATGACGAGAGGCTGGAAACTGGTGGCATAGTGGTAAGAGCAGCAGTTTGAATCCACCAGGAGCTCCTTGGAAACTCTATAGGGCAGTTCCATTCTGTCCTATAGAGTTGCTATGAGTTGGAATTGACCCAGTGGCAATGGGTTTGGTTTTGGTTTATTTACAGCAGGGTATGCCTACACATCATTTCGTGTGGCGTCAGTGTAGTGCTTGGCATGCAGCAAATTCAAGTTCCACTTTTTGGAACTTCTTTTTTTCTAACTATTTTTGATCCACAGTTTGTTGAACCTACAGGTCAGAACCCTCAGATGTGGAGGGTTGACTGTATGTGTAAGTAGTTTTGGAAAGCTTTCATTCCTTATCTTCTCACAAACTTGAAAGAAGATACATGGCAGAGAAACTGTCAGTGTAAGGAATGTGGAATTGTCTCCTCACTCTTTGAAAAATATTTGAGTTCATGCATATGGAAAAGCTTTCACTAATTAACTTTACTGACCATGTGAGAAGTCACACTAGAGAGACCTAGGAATATTTACATGTCTTTTTCTATGTTGAACTTTTCCATGTGGATTCAGCCTATGAATGTAAAAGATAATGAAAGCTTTCTCAGGATGCTGTGAGGTGATAAATCTCCTTGCAGTAAACACTTTGGCCTTTTTCTGAGTTCCTGAGGCTAATAGGTGTGGGATAGACCAGAGGGCAATGAGACCTCCACAGGGTGAGGCCAATAAAGGATTTGGAACACAGATTCATTGAGCTTCCTGGTTGGTGCAAGACATCCATGCATGTGGGAAGGTTGTGCATCTCTGGGGACTTTCCCAGACTTTGCCCTAGGCATCTCTTCATTTGTGTCTTTTGTGCTGTATTAAAGCTGTTATTGCAGGTGTGGTAATCTCTGTGAGGTCTGTGAGTTGTTCTAGCATATAATGAAACCCAGAGGAATTAGTGGGAGCCAACCCGTCGGAAGTGGAAGGAGTCAGTTGGAATCCCAAGCTAGAGACTGGCATCGGCCTTTTTGGCAGTCTGAATGCCGACCTACCCCCATTACTAGGGTTAGTGAGAAATTGTGCGCCGCAGGGGCAGCTGGATTCAGAACTGAACAGGAAAAGGAAGTCTGAGATTTCCCCAGAATGCAGTTGGCATGTAGAGAATTTGTAGTCCACCACACAAGTTGACATCAGAGGTGAGATATGTCATTCTCCCTAGAACACAGATACATATAAGCGCTCACACACTAGAGAGATGCTGTGACTGTAAGCATTGTGAGAATGCCTTCAATCACATCATTTTCCTTTTCGTGCATCAGGAAATTTATACAAGAGGAAGAATCTTATCAAAGTCACAAGAGTATATAGTGCCTTACGCCCATGTGCATTCATTTCCACTTCGTATTTTCTGATGTGAACATTAAGATGATAAATATCATTCTAAGTATTGTTGATTCTAGGGCATAAATTTTGATAAGTACTGTTTGCACGTTGATTCATTTATATAAAAGTTATCTTAATTAGACTTTCTCATCAACATATGGGTGTTTCGTGTTTCAGAGTACGTTTTCTTTATATCAACTGTCAAGCTTTAGAGTTTTTTTTTTGCATATTATACACCACTAAGTTTTCATTGTAGAAAAATTTATTTTAACTAAAAAGTATGTGGGAAAGCAGATATTACTTAAATTTCCCCACTCTTGGTATTTTAGAATTTCGTTTTAGCCTTTGTATGCAAAGCAGTGTTTGTAACAGAATCAGGATTGTAGTCTGTGTTCAGCATTGTAGTGGATATGTTTTATGTTGCATCTCATTTATTCACAACTACTATCATCTTCCCTGGTTTACTGATGAGGAAACTGCAAAGAAAGTTTTAAGCCACAGTCATTCCACAGAAGTGCCCCTCTCTCAAATGGGGTTGTGAGAAGCAGAGTTTGCGTGGAAGGACAGCTTATTCTCGGGCCCAAGGTGATGGTGGGCCCACGTTCAGCCACAACCTGACCTAGCTTCAGTGGAGCTGTCCTCACAGGCCCAGAGCCTGTGCTCATTGAGTCCTGGCTTTGTAATTCGAATTGTCCAATAGTGTGCCCCAGGTGAGGAGCTAAGGCTGTGGTTTCTGAGCTGAAATAGTTTCTGGGCTCCACTTGGTGTGCACACCCACTGCAGGGCCTAGAGAAGATGAGAGCCCAGCTAGGGTTCCTGTATTAGTGGGGTCAAGGCAAGGGACTTTGGGGCCTGCAGGTTTATTCAGCATCACTCTGTCCCATGCTGCACTGGGAGCTGCCTCACTGACTCTTCATGTAAGAGGCCTGGGAAATGGCCGCAGTTAGTAGATGCCTTCACATTAGATCTTACCTTGACTTGGCAGTTCACATTGTAGAATCATCCTATGGAAACCCCTGGGCAAGATGGTATCTGTTGATAGTAGTGATAGTGGAAACCCTGAGAGTCAGCATCTACCAGGAAGGGAGTTGTTAAATGCCTGGCCACACATCAGAATGTTGGGCTGCCACTAAGTGACTTTTTTCAGAAAAGTTTCGATCACAAGAGGCAGTCGTAGCATAATATGTGAAAGGCAGGATGTAAAACTGTGTACGTGGTGATAGCAGTTTGTAAAACATTTACATGTAGATGTACATTTTATAAAGGCAGACAAACCAGCCTGTGGAGATGCTCCATCCTAGAACATTAACAGGGGTTCTCCACTAAAGGTGAGATTATAAGTGATTTCTTTTCTCATTTCGCTTCTCTGTAGTTTCCAGTTTTCTTACAGTCATTGTTCATTGCTTGTAAAATTTTCTAAATTTATTTTTAATACTTAAAAATATTAATTTTCTTTTGGAATGTACAATTACATGACTTGACAAACGCAGTAAGTGTTATAATCAGTAGCACAGTGGAAGTACAGAACAGCGCTGCCCTTCCCTCCAAAACCCTCCCTCATGCTGCCCTTTTTAGTCAAACCATCTCCTGACTGAATCCCTGGCAACTGTCTATACATTCTTGCACTGTGTAGGTTTTTGATTCTGGCTGCTTTCACTTAGCATAATTCATTTGAGAGTCATCCATGTTGATGAATGTGTCAACTGTTGCTCTTTTTTCTGGGTAGTATTTTGTGATATAGACATACCACAGTTGGTGTAGTCACCATTTGGAGGACATTTGGATTTCTGGTTGTTATGAATAAAGCTGATATAAACCCTCCTGCACAGGTTTTGTAGCCCTGGTGGCATAGTGGTTAAGAGCTGGGCTGCTAACCAAAAGGTCAGCAGTTTGAGTCCACCAGCCGCTCCCTGGAAATCCTACGGGGCAGTTCTGTCCTGTCCTGTAGGGTCTCTATGATTCAGAATTGACTCAATGGCAGTGCTCTTGTGGCTTGTCGGGGCATAGGCTTTATGTGTACAGAGACAGGGACACTTATGGTTCTGCATCTCCAGGGCTGGCAGGACTGTTGGCATAAACGCCTGAAGGTAAAACGTGTCTGGGGAAGAAGTAGAGGTGCAGTGGGTGAGAGGTGGCCAGTTGGGCTGTGGCCTCTCCACGGGAAGTTGCTTCAGGTCTTGTGTCTGTCTTGGGTGTGCTCTTGCCTGGGGCCTGTTGGACCCACCTGAGCCCGGGAGTCAATCCCCTCTGCCCAGGGCTCTCATTCCCCCTCCATCATAGCATCAGAGATCAGCCACTCTAGACCCCACTGTACAGATGGGAAACAGGCAGGGGGCATATTCCCTGTACCTTCCCACAGAAGGGTGGATGTGTCTCTACTCCACGGAACTCTGAACTCCTGGAGTTCGGGCTGTTCCTGATTGATTCCTGCATCCCTGTGCCTGGAACAACATGCTAAATGAATGAGTGAATTGTTTGTTGAAGGAATGAATACAGCTCCCCAAGCAGGGTGTGAGCCCTCTGTGCTGCTCTGACATTGCTGTCACCGCCCTCTGCTGGGTCTGTCATGATCAGTGTCTCCATATCGGTCTGTGATCCTCCCCAAAGGCTCCCATGGAGCCCAGCTCCTGGCACACCGTCAGGGCACAGTACAGCTGGGTGAGGTTGATGGCTCTGACAGAAGAGCCCCAGTGAGGCTGAGGAGGCCGTGGCTTCCGTCGTCCTCCCCTGCCCCTGTGAATGTGGATGGATAGTTGAGTTGGCCACGTTTCACAGTTTTGCATTCCGTGTCCACCACCAAGGTCAACATTTTCAGCCTTGGTTGGGGGATCTGTGATGTTCTGACCTTTCTGCGCCACCTCCTCCACCTGCTGTTATTAGCAGTTCACAGATAAAAACCAGGGCAGGAGAGGTGGTAGGAGAGAATGAGGCTTTCTTCCAAACGTGTTGTAGGAGTGAAGACACTGAGTCACAAAGGATAGGCTGGGCTGACCAAGGTCTTCAAGGCAAACACTGATGTCCCTGAAAGGCAGCTCCACAGCTGGTCAGAGTGACTTCAGAGAGCCCAGCCTGCCCTGTGCCCCTGGGCTTAGCAAATCAGGGACATAGAGATGGGCCTCAAGGACACAGGGAAGGGACCCAGTGGTATAGGGAGGGGTCCTCAGGGGCATGGGGAGGGGGTCCCAGGAGGCATCCCTCCACCATTCCCTTCTGGAACCTTCATGTTTCCTGGGACCTGGCTGT